CTAATAACATAAATTTGAAAAGGCTAATACTGTCTTTATCCCACCTCAGGGTGGCAAGTTAAGGCTCTGATGTGATTTTATAGCCAAGCTAATAACCAGAAAGTGGGTTTTAATAATCTCCGAGAACTGGCATCCTAAAAGGAACTCTCTAAATACATAGGGGGATCGGGATTGGAAAATGCGACTAAATTATGCGGCAGGAACCGCTTTAACGTATTAATTCCTTCCTTAATCTAACTATGTTTAATAATACTAGGTATTTGCATAAGTTCGTTGTATTTGAAACGTTGCTTTCGGTCTTAGAGAACCTTGAAAATTTCACGTTATTCGTTAAAGACATCGAAGGAAGGAGTTAGAATACATTTACATTAATTTCGTTTCGTCAAAATCGCTGCAGTCGATAATAGAAGTGCAGAATTAATACCAGAGAGTTTCTTTGTAAAATTAATTTGTTCCTTTTAAATTTAAAATTATGTTTTAATTATAATTTACTAAATCATTCAATTTATCGAATCTCCACTTTGTTAATTCGTTTCAAAATAATACAAAGTTGGTTTCCCAAATTGTTTTGTCTTCAAAATTATCTTAAAAAATAGGTTTTTAAGCATTGTTTATGAGAAATTTGTACTAGGTATATTTTGTGTAAAGAAAAAATCACTCAAGCTCAAGGTACGAACTAAAAAAGCTTCAATTAAGCAATCAATTTTAAAGTGTGCTCCAATTTTGCTAGTTGCAGTTCCATAGATAATCGTATAAACCACTTAGGCTACTTCTTCTTTCTTTCCATCTTGTTTTTCTTTTTCTTTTTCCTAAGTCCTTCTTGTTTGTCCACTGCTGGACCTAGATCATTTACATGTGTTTTCATTAATGTCTAGTCTTAGCAATGATCAACCATTGCTTGCCCACGATATGTTTAATACCTTCCGTTCAACATCTCTGGGGTCTGTCAGTAATTTTTGTTCTGCCACGAATGTTGGTATTTCGCATCCTGTTGCTCAAACTGATCCCGAACACTCGATGGCTCTCTGAGATATTCTGAAGTCTTCTTTGTAAAGACCATGGTCTAAAGTCTGTAGGTTGTCACTATTAAGGTGTATGTTTCTTTATCAAAATATAGCTTAATTTGAAATATCCATTAAAAAAAGAGAAAAAAACAACCAATGTAGTTCATTGGACATTCTTCCAGGCCAATGAAAATTAAAAAGGACTTTACAGACGGCTGTAGTCTGTGTAAGAAGAAGATGTGTGAGCTTAGAAGAAAATATACAAATTAATTTGAGAATAAAATATTAATTATTAGAACTCTAAAACAAGAAAACCAATGCATAGCACATGAAAGAATGAAAACTGATTATGGAAAAGACCCCTCAAGGATTGTAAAGACTAGAATGATGATAATCATGTCGTTGTTCGGTGCTTTAAATATTTCCTTAACTTGTGATATTAAGCTATGTTAATATCTATTACATGATTTATGAGAAAACAGAATTCTAAACAGAAATCTTAACAAAATGCGCAAAGAGTTTAAGCCAAGAATAAGGAGCTGTAAGGATGTAGCAGGGAACATCCTAAATGATACGGCCTCAATCCCAAACCAATGGATTGGATTTTTCGATGCAAAATTTAATGGCCATCATATCGAAGAAGCAGATAACACCCTAGCAAATTGAAATGATTGGAATCTTTTCGACCCAAACGAAAGACCACCTACCATTAAAAACGTTGCATAAGCCATTAAAAAGCTTAAAAATAATAAATCATCAGGAGTTGATCTAATTTGCTGTGAGCTCTACAAGAATGGTGGCGATGCCCTACTGCGGACACTGTATAAGCTTTTACTTCTTGTTTGGCATAATGAGACCATGCCTTGTGAATGATCTCAACTGCTTACAAAATACTATCAAATATTCTCTACGAAAGGCTGCAAGTTTACACAGTGGGCATAGTTGGTAAACATCAAGCTGGATTTACTCCAAAAAAATCAACAATTGACCAGATTCATTCAATAAGACAGATTCTCGAGAAAACATTAGAATTCAATATTGAAACCTATCACCTATTCGTCGAACTTCAAGTCCGCATACGACAGTGTCAAGAGAACAGTGCTATACCAATCAATGCATGAGTTTGGTATACCAGAGAAACTTATCCGACTAACGAGAATGACAATGTCTAACTTAGAAGCCACTGTTAGAATACAGGGAGAGAGTTCTAGATCCTTTAAGATAAAGGATGGACTCAGACAAGGGGATGCTCTGGCTTGCCTCCTATTTATTATTGCCTTAGAAAAGGCAGTCCGAAATACACAAATTAGGGATGGCAGTACTATTTACAATAGATCGATACAAGTCATATGCTGACAACATTGACATAGTAGGGCGTAGCAAGCGAGATGTTGAGCAATATCTCCTAGAATTGGAAACAGCGGCGAAACAGGGCGGTCTAGTCATCAACGAAGACAAAACCAAGTACATGTTGGTTACAAAGGATCCGATAGCAAATGAGGAACGAGAAACAGTTTTTGGAAGTCATACCTTTGGACGTATTGACAACTTCACATACCTTGGGTCGCTATTGACTGCTACCAATAAAACAAGCGAAGAAATCAAAAGACGAATAAATCTTACAAATAGCGCATACTATGGACTCCAGAAGCATTTCCACTCAAGAAACATTCAAAGAAGAACTAAAATTATTATATACAAAACATTGCTGAGGCCGGTCCTCACATATGGAGCAGAAACATGCACTCTAACGCAGAAAGATGAAAGACTTTTGGGAATATTTGAGCGTAAAATACTCCGCAAAATATTTGGAGCTGTAAACGACCAAGGGCAGTGGCGCAGAAGATATAATTTTGAATTGTATCAGGTCTTTGATGAGCCAGATGTCATAACGTTCATTAAAACACAGCGACTTAGATGGGCTGGACACATAATACGAATGCCAGAAAATACGATTGCTAAAAAGCTAACCACAGAAACACCTGTAGGAAAAAGAAGCAAAGACTGACCGCGAATTAGGTGGTTGGATGGAGTTGAAACCGACTTACGAATATTAAAAATCAGAAGATGGCAACATGTTGCGAAAAACCGAACAGAATGGCAACGAATCTTAGAGCAGACCAAGATCCACAGAGGATTGTCGAGCCAAAGATGATGATGATGATTTATGAGAATTTTTTTTTTCTAAGCCTTAATATTTTTAAATGTAGATTTTTCATCCTGTAGATTTAAACTTTTTCTTATATTCTTACTAAATACTTCATAACTTTTGTTTCATATACCATACAATGCTTAAAATATTTACTATTTAGTTATTTATTTAAAGTTTAACTCCAAACAATAAAATCTTAATTGAATAGTGTAAACATAACATATGAAAGTGTTTTTAATATAGCTGATCAAAATATGCATCTGCAAGTAAGAATTCAATTATAATAAAATAATACATTGCATACAACAATTTATTTTAAGCTAATAATATACTATTTAATTGGAAGACTAATTTTTTTATTAATAAAGCTTTTTTCTAGAAATATAATACGAGATTTTTTTTAGGAAATCCTAACCTCTTTCTTTCAGATTTAGAAATCTTTTGATTAACGCCAAACATTATCTGTTACTGACTGGTTATCTATAGTCTTAAATTCAGTCTATGATTGACCTTAATAATTTGATAAATACACAAAAATCAAGTTTGATCGAACGTTTTAAACGCACTTTAAAAAATAATATTGTTTCTATCAATTCCGACGTGCGTAAAATACAATTTTGATTATATTTTATATCCCTTTTAGGGCCAATGTACTCTAGAGCCTCCTTCGATCGCTACCTTTAACTCAGCAAAAAAAGTAGAAGAAATTGTGTCTGCAATAACTGCTGTCTATATACATCCTTTTGAATTATTAGTCTAAAAGGTACAGCTTATGTACTAATCCTAAATTAGTGGACGTGTTGCGATGTGTTATCTCTTTGGAGGGGATATTTACAAGGGGCGTCACTTACGAAAAATAAATCTAGACGGCATGCCATGCTCGCCTTTGCCATCGACGTAACGCTTAACTAAACTAAGAGGAAAGACTAGAAAGCTTGACTAGACAAACTCAGATCGAGAGAGGCCACGGCATTTCATTCCATAATAATTTACATGATTCCTCCAACTATAGTGCAAGAATATTATTATACTACATTGAAAAAATATAGACTTTGGCAAGAGTTAGAGGACGTCACATAGGCAAAATTTTGCCAATTTGTAGTCAACGCAGGTTTATTTGTTATGGTAAGAATAAATAGCAATTACTAAAATCAACCTGCGTAGACGCGAACTGGCACAGGTGTAGCTACAGTTATTTCTTTTGAACTTGGCTCTTCTTTACAACTTAGTGGAGATATAACTTCTTCCTTTAAACAAGCTGATTCCAAATGTTTGTTTAGATAAGATTTGAGAGCAAACGTTTTGTGGCAGCGTGGGCATTCAAAATTTTTATCTGCTGAATGCGTCTGCATGTGTGCTCTCAAATTTGATCGATCCGCAAAGGCCTTCCCACAGTGCGCACAACCATATGGTTTTTCTCCAGTGTGGGATCTGAGGTGACCTTGAAGTAACCATGGTCGCGAAAATTGCTTGCCGCAGACACCACATCGGTGAGCTAGTTTATGCGTAAGGACATGCATCGCTAAAGCTGGCATGCTTACGTATGCTTTTCCACATGTTATACATTTTTTGGCAGCTTGTGAATCCAGACTTCGATGAGTCTGTTTATGCCTGGAAAGGTTACTGGATGTCGCATATTGTTTTCCACACTCGCTGCAGGTATATTTAGGTTTCTCTGTAACTTTGACTACAGTTATATTTCCGGTTGATTCTTCAGAATCGTGTCTCTTTTTTGATCGTCCGTCACTTACGAAAAAGGCTTCATAAGTGTACGCTATAGTTTTAGCAGGCTTTATAGACGGACTTAAATCGCCCATTGTTTGAGGAATGTTCGGATCTTGGACATCCGGAGGAAGTTCCAATACATGGTGTTGTTCTTGTATTTGAATTTGCGGTGGAGGTGGCAAAAAAACTGTCGTAGAAGCACTTAAGTCCAGTATAGCGTGAGCAGCGTGAAGATCTTCTTCAGCTGGAACTCTAATTGTGTGATGAAAAAATGGAGGAGAAGGTTTGTCTTCAAGTGAATAAGGTCGATATATATCCTTTTTCTTTGGAGGCAAACTCAGTGCTGTTCCGGTACTTGTATAAGTCATTGCTAAAGATTTTTTGTGTTTGATTGGAACTTGATTAGAAGTGTTATACTCATACCGTACGTCAGTTGGTTCTTCAGCATTTCTTAAAGTGATGTAAGATGCTTGTGGTTGACTAGGTAGTTCAGATTTTGGAACAAAAGTTGTATAGCTTGAAGAAGAAATATCGTGAAGATATCCTGAAACAAAAAGTACTTGTTTAGATTGTACACAAACATACCTGGATGCGTACCAAAATATTCAGTCCTTTTTCAAATTATATATAATTATAAAATAAAATTAAAGTTATAAGATTAGTAGTTTTATTATTATTATATTAGCCTAAAAAACGGGCTAAATCCATTCCTTCGGATCAGAGTCTGTTCACTTGTAATTATTAAGACACCCTTCATTATATTTTAGGTTGTAAATAGAACATACTTCTCTATTTAAATGTAAATCATAAGTGTGAATGTTAGGGATTAGAGTCTTATACTCACGTTTGCTTGTAGATTTTTATTAAATAAAAGATTGGGCTACCGGTATCGCCGTTTACAAGTTATACAGCACCATCAGGCCATCAAGTAACTAAAGATTGAAATAGACGATATACGTAAGCCAATATATATACAACCAGAAAACCAAAAAATTTCATTAAACGTAATACTAAGAATATATAGGACTTAGTCGACTGTCAGTTACATAAAAAACAACTATCAAGTAAGGTGGCGCTTTCGCGGAAATGTACTAAATCGAGTATTATGTACTCTCAAAACTTAAGTCGAGAGTTTTATAGTTCTTATAGATTAAAAAAAATATTCCCGCGGATAAGTATAAAAGCTCTTCCTGGGTTGCATATCTTGCATACTAAGCAAATATTCTTGAGAGTATAAATATATTAAACAAAGAATTGCAAGGAAAGAATATTAATATAATTTCAGCGAGAGAAATAGTGTCAGCATTCTTAATAAAACCGCAATATTGGAGACAGAAAGTAAAACAGAATATTGCTTGAACATCACTAAACATAATTAGCTTATATCGAGGATATAATTGTAAGACATCTTATCAAATTGAGAAAGCGGTTTTCAGATTACTGTCCAGATATTGATACAGGCACTGTCAGTTGGATTGTAGATCCTTTTAAAAGTGAAATTACTATGATACCAGTACAACCTGTAGGTTTGGCAAAAGCAATTCTTGAACTTCGATTTAATACTGAAGCACGTATTCAATTTGAGAGTAATCCAAATCTGTCGTCATTTGGATGTCAAAAGCTGCAAAGGTTTTTAAAATTGCACATGTAGAGGCGGTTAAAAATTTTTTGTCATTTGAACAACATATTTGAGCAAACAAGGCTTCCACTCTAATAAACATAAAAACGAAGAACAGAAATCGATTAAATTATGACGACTGTATTCGAATCAAATTAAAAAGTCCCAATTTTGAAGCAATTGTATCGACTATGAAACAACATCACTTTTCCAAAACGTGAAGAAAGAATGTTTTCAATTATACTTTTTTTGTTTCTTCTAATTTTTTCAATTATAATTTTTGTTTGTACCACCATTATTAATATTATTATTATAATTTGTTACAGTACAACAAAATTATCAACGCACAATTCTACCCCATTGAGTTTCTACACAGGAAAGAAAAATTCACCCCTACAGAAAATATAAGTAAATGATAATTTCTTTTTATTTTGTAATTCATAAATTTTTCTTCTCGTATTAGAGTCTAATAATAATAGAAAAAAAAAATTATATGAATTACAAAAGAACAAGAAATTATCATTACTTATATTTTCTGTGGGGAAGAATTTTTTTCTTCAACTGTATATTACATGCATTACTATTTTTACCTTAATTACTATTTAACTAGGAATAAGCCACAATTAAGGGTTGACATATTTTTATTGACGTTTCAATTTCCACTTCGGAAATCGTTTTCAAAATACAAACAGTAAATTAAACAAATTTTGTTTTTTTGTTACTTACAGAAGAATTCTTCTAATAATTTAATTTTATCTGACTTATTCATAATGACAATTCAGACATACATTATGCATTTTAAAGTAGACGAATTTAAAATGATATTGCTAATATTGTTGAGTTGCGCTCCTGGGACGACTTTGCTTATAAGATAGTTAATTCGATTACATGAAGTCAACTTTAACTTGAGAATATCCGTCAGAAAAAAATTATAGCATGTAATTCGTCTTTAAAAATTGATGACAGTAAAATTCTCCTCTTAGTGATTCCATAATAAATTATGAGGGAAAAACCAGGAAAAAAATTAAATAAAATTAATTAAAATCAAGGTTATTAAATGTTAGAATAGTAAATTATTTCAAATGCAACAATAAAATAGCTTAAGAACAACTATTATTACCGTTATGTATTACTAGGTATTACATTGATAATAGAACAAGTGATGGAAAATGAATACTTGGAAATAAAACTGTCAAACTACGGAAAAGTGAAAGAAGAAGTACAAAAACAAGTGAACGTGGCAAACAGAGTAGCAGGACGTCTCAACAACACAATCTGGAGAAACAAATACCTCAAAACAAAAACGAAAACCAGGATAATAAATCAACAATAAGACCGATAATGACGTACACATCGAAAACAAGAGCAGATACGACAAAAACACAAAGACTGCTGGAAACAACAGAAATGAAAGTCTTACGAAAAATAACAAACCAAACTCTAAGAGACAGAGTCAGAAGTGAGGAAATACAAGCCAGATGTGGTATAGAGGAAATAAATGCGTGGACTAAAAGAAGAAAAGTGGAATGAATCAACACATCGGAAGAATGACACAAAATAGAATAATACGAATAGCAAGAGACAAATCGCCAAATGGAAGAAGATCATTGGGACAACCGAGGAAAAGATGGTCAGACAACGGTAAGTGAGCCTAAAATTTCGGAGTAAAACAGGCATTAAGCCTATTTATAAAGTAAGAAGAAGAAGAAGAAGAAGACATTGATAATTTGCATAAATGATGTTTTAAATTTAATTTTAAGTTATTGTTTTCTTTTCAAAATTATCAGGGGGGCTATAATATGAAAGATGCTAAAAGGGGCGATTTTGTTTTTTTCTGTTCTTCGTTATGGGGTAATATCAACTTAAACAAACTATTTTGGCGTAATGATTTAAAAAGTTCACCGACCGCTGCTATATAACAACAGACATTTGGAACAAAGTTGCAGACCATGCCCAATTACATACTGCAGACTGTGTCAATTATTATAAGTAGTCATAAAAAGAAATAAAAATCTTTAATTTAGTGTCATGAATTGAGTTTACATGATTAGTTTTCGGTTCTACAGTCACGTGCAGGGCATTAGTTTATCACATCGTTTAAGTGATAAAACTTCAAAATAGGATACTAATTTATTTGCAAAGTATTTTTAACATATTACTAGAAAAGTAATTGTAATATTTTATCATATTATATAAACAACTACAAGGAATTAACGAGAATGTATTAGAACTTAAAAGTTGCATAAAACTTTCACACCTGTTTTCAACATTTTTACCTGTAAGTTAGTTTCAAAACAAAAGTTCCTAAGACTAATTTGTATTTACCTAACTCCGAAGAATTACCAGCTTATGTTTTGATACATCTAAACGATGCCAAGTAACATAACGGCGCAATTTAGAAACATTTTTAGTTAAAATTATCTGCTTTTAACTAGGAACTCGCTTAAGAACTTACAACTTCGTAATTATGGAGATTTGTTGTGCTTTCCCTTTGCGATCTGTCTATTATTTACAATGTCGAGAATACAACAGCATAACTAAGTTTTAGTTTAAGAGGCCGCAGAATTGTGCAACAGTTTCTACAGAATATTATATGGAGCGTATTAAATATCCGGGAAGGCAAGCAATGTCAAGTCATAAATAAACTGAATTTCTAATGAAAGCGCACTTGCTATTGTGTTTATGTCATAAATAAAAGAACTTGCTTTCGTTCTTACAAAGTTAACATAATTTCCGAGTCCTAAAAAGACGCTGCCAATAACGGCAGACCTTTTTGAGAAGCAAAGAGTTTACCGCGATATAAACTTAAGATGCTCTTTAGTTTAAACCAAAATAAACTTGAGGATAGGTTAAATAAGGGTAGCTAATGAAACTGAAATATTTTTATATGCAGTGGGTTTTAACAGAGGCGTAACAGAGCCCCCGCGGCATTAAGCTTGCGGGAGGGCCCAATATATCCGGGGTCCCATCTTATCGTCTAATACAGTGGTCGCCAACCTGTCGATCGCGAGCTACCGGTAGTTCGCGAAGGCAATTCTGATAGCTCTCACAACGATTTTAATTTAAAAAATACAAACTGCAAAAATCAAATGAAATCGTAGGCTTCCACGGCCAGAGTCAGAATTATAGTTTATTTGTCTTCCGGGTTTGGACCGTGTCATTTGTGAGTGACCCAAAAGATGAACCCACTTTTGGGTCACTCACAAATGACACGGTCCAAACCCGGAAGACGAATAAACTATAATGCAAAACTCAGAGAAACTTCCGAAAATTACACAAAAAAAATCTAATTGTCATAATATTAAACATAAACAGCGGCAACGTTGCGGTGAGCGATATGACGCTGACGCCGTCAAGCTAGAATCGGCTATTTATAGAACCGACCAGCCGGACCAGTGCGTTAGTGTTCGAAAACGATCTGGATTGCTTTGAACATGATAAATACGCAAGGCGCGGCGACATTGCGCTTAGTGTAAAATTGAACGCGTAACCAACGTAGTAGAGAACAACAAAAATAATATGATGGCAAGCAGTTGTAAGAAGGTAAAGACATACCACTTTCATTCGGAATGGGAAGAACAATACTTTTTTACATAAGTTAAAGATAAAAATGTGTGTTTGTTATGTAATACTTCGGTCTGCTTTGCTAAAAAAGGAAATATTGAGAGACATCATAAAACTGTACATTCTAATTTTGAAAAATCATTCCCACTACATTCTGCCGCCAGAAAGGAGAACCTGAAACAGTTTTTAAAAAAACAGTAAATTGGACAACAATCAATATTTTTAAGAACAGTCGACAAAAATAAGGCTGCTACTGTAGCATCGTACCGTGTGTCCCAGATAATTGCACAAAAAAAGAAACCTTATGAAGACGGGGAAATGATAAAACAGGGGTTTTTAGAAGCTGCTGATTTGTTATTTGC